TTATTTGTGTTTAATTTTAAATAAAAAATTCAAAATAATTTCTGACCACATGAAATATAATAAACGGCTAAGATTTGAAGATCCTTATAATTTGAATCTGGATGAGATCTAAATCCTGATAAGATGGCGACATAAGCAGAAAACACATCGAGACCTTTGGGTGGGCAGTGAGGGAGTAGGATTCTCTCCCCTCTTTTTTTCCCTCCCCTTCCCTTTCTTCCCATTTGAACGGTCACGGTTAAGTTACAGCAATATCTTATATTAATTTTTTATGAAAGAGAAAGAGAAAATAAAAAAATGTAAAAGGAGATAATAGAAGAGGACGAGAAGAAGAGATGAAAGAATCACACCGGTAGTGAGTACCATTGATTTGAAATTGGATGTGCAGGTAAGAACCCGTACCAAGGTACAACCCCATCATCCACAACTATGGTTGCCTTTCCACGTCAACTATGTTAAAAAAATTATCCGCCCTCTTAGTATTATAGTTTAGCAATATTTTTCTTCACTTTTAAATAAAAAGTTTTAGGTTTAAATCTTGTCAATTATAAATTTGAATCACATTATTATTGGCCTGAGCTCATTCCTTTGCTCCTTAATTTAATAATATCGTCTCCGGTCGAGGGGTACAGTTGGCTTTTTCCCTTGAAGGGGGTGTGAAGAGAAAACTTTGGGCGAGGTGTTTTATGACTTGTGAGGAGTTTTCCCCTAATTTTTTTTTATAAATACCCCTTCTCCTTTTCTCGCTTCTTTCATTGTAATTTGCCTTTGGGTTTGTGATCCAAATTCTGTCAAGAGGCTCAGGCCTCTGCTTCCCCTCTGTTTCCCTACAAAGGACTTCTGAGTTCCATCACTCACAAATCCTTCTTCAGATTTTCTAGTTTCATTTCTTTCTCATAATTCTCCAAATTATTTCTGCTTCTGTTTCTGCTTCTCCATTCTCTCTCTAAATTTTTATAAAATCTCCTCTTCTGTGATCAAAATTCCATCTTAACTTCCCTTTGCTCTGTTTTCTCTCTGCTTTCTTTGTCACCGTAACACGCGTTGTGCAACCATGGAAACCGGTTCTTCGACATCCCAAGAGAAGAAAGCCGCAACTTGTCCTCCGAGGAGAGGCCAGATCAAGGCTAAGATTTTTGAAAGCTTGGTCAAAGCCGTCACCAACATGACCTCCAAACCTGGAGCTCAGGGGAAAAACGGAGGAGAAGGCAGTGGCGGCGGAGGTTCTGCCTCCACAACCTCACCACCAAGCGCCTACAGCTCTGATGCCAATTCCGACATGTGATAGACATCAGAAGGGAAGATGGGTTCTTCAGCTCGTCGCTGCAGTCATCCGGTTCGTCCTCCGAATCGTGATCCCATCCCACTTAACTGTGAAGCTCTGGAGTTCTACTATTTTAAGTCAGATCAAGCTTCTGCTTTGTTGTTCGAGTAGAAAGTTCTTTGTGTTTGTTTTTTCGGTTTCGTTTTTTAGAAACCATACATGGGTCATGTGTTAAATTATTATGTTCCTGCACAACTCATAGTTTTGAGAGTTTTGCAGGATCATAACCCATCTAAGCTTTTTATCTTGTGTTTCAGTTTCTGTATAATTTGGACCTGTGCCTCTTTCCAAATTTGTTTCTGCGAGTTTTAGAGAGCAGAGATACTCGGAAGAGGCAGTTTGTGCAATTAAGGGTATTTTGGGTTTTGTATCTTTGGTTTGCTTCGTGTGTACTTCTTGTTATATGATACAGTGGTTATAAATACTATATATTTTGGATTACACACTTTTGTGGCTTTGTATTTTGTCTTGCTTCAAGTGAAGTTGGTATGATGTGAATATTCTGTTGAGTTTTACTTGAGTTGTATTAATGCAGCAATATTCCCAGTTTCTTATGTTGAATTCTTTGCTATTTTCTTGTTCTAAAAAAAAAAAAAAAATTTGACAAAATACACATAAATACCGGCGCGTGAATTAAAAATTAAAAGAAAAAACAAAAATAAATGAAATTCTGGGTTGAAAATAACTTTTCTTATATAAATAATTACACATGTACAAAATAATAAAAACTGTTAAATTCTTCGTCTAAAACAAAGTAAACTCGTCTAGCTCATGTCTTGCCAAATAACTTATCTAAAAAACGGAAGGTTGAGGGGTGAACAACAACCACCCGTCCCCTAGTGAGTGGAATATATAATGTAAATCAAGCAATGATGTTTTCCACACAATATCATGATATATCAAAAGCTTTAGCCACATTCACATCATCCATTTGCATGTTTATTATATCCTTCATCAAATATAAATCATCTCGTGACTCCTAAGAGCATATCTAAAGAAGATTCTAAATTTTAAACATTAAAATATAAATTTGACAGCCTATGTGGTACTTTGATAAATTTTTTTTTTTTTTAAAGTTTTGCTCTTCACTTGCTATCTCAAATTAAACTATATTTTATTACACTGAACTATTATAATAAATATTTTGAAACAACAAACAATGACAAAATAATTATTAAAAAAATTGAAGCTGCTGTTAATTTTGGTAGCAAGGGTGAAGGCTACCAATTCATGTCAGGCCACATCAGATTTGACTTTTTTGTTGGAAAATTTTGTTGCTACATTTTTTTTTACTCTTAGAGCTGCTCTAATGGCCTCTTTGCTCTAATGTCCATTCGTGCAAATACATTTATACCTTGAAATAATGCAACATCAAGGTTCTCATGTTCCATGAACATCTCAAACAATTCAATGATCAAATATTTAACACCTCCGAATGAATTAAATCTTTTATGCATTTGATTAAATATTTAATTAACTACGGTTGTCTATGCATTTGATTAAACCCTTTATGAAAAAGGAAAAAAAATTAAATAAACTAAAGAATTGGTTTTTTCCTTAAAAAAATGAGCGACTTCAGTTATCCCATTTTCCTCCTCTCTACTCAGGTTGCAACTTACACCACAACCCTTACAACTTTAATAAGGAAATTAAAATTGCTCAGGAGAAAATATGCTTTTTGGACCGTCCATGCTGTGCTGGCTATAGGATTATCTTTTGATCAATGCCACCCGAATTCCAAGTTATTCAAAACTTTGAAAAATAGATAGCTGATTTGAACTGGACTTTTCCCAAGTTTTTTTGTTGAGTTGGTCTTTAGAAGGTTCAGATTACGTTTCTAGTTTGTTTTAATACTGTATTATTGTATGGCATAATTATGAAAGAATGTTAATTGGTTGGTAACTTAGTAGTGTTATTTGACTTATTTCTGAAACATATAAAAGAAAGTGCCTTAAAAAAGCATAAATACAACTCGCTAGAGCACTACCCCTTTTTTTTCCGAAAAAAAATTAGCTGGTGGTTTCGTTACGGCAGTCAATCTTTCGGGAGCCGGAAAGTCTGTTTTGCAAGAGTCAAGTGGTTTACGGTTTTAGGGTTTGAATGAATTTTTGCAATAATGACCTTTTGATGTTAACCTTGAAAATAAATTGTTTGGATAGTGAGGTTAAATCGTGAATTAAGTCCAAATGAGTAGTTAACATCGTATAAACTTTGAGTGCTTCCAAACACTGAAGAATATATGGAGGAATTCCTTGATTCGGATGGAACATCTATGAAAGAGCCCTCACCAAAATTGGAATGACTCCGGGGGCTAGGGTTACTAAATTTGGGAACATAGTCAAATGCCAATTCTGACATCCACATCCGGCTGAAATCTAGGTTTGGTCCCAACATGCAAGCTACGGAGGCTCGTATTTCGATTAAACATAGAAAGTGGATTCCGCGCACTCATCTTCTCTTTGTAGATGAGAAATAAGCCTTAAAATTACTTGATGTATGCCAGAGGTGCAAGGAAACTTCCGTCAGGAGAAAAAGCACCGTCCAAGCTGAACTGGAAACAGGACTATCCTCTGATCTCGTTATCAGTCAACCTCACCCTTGGAAATAGGTCTTTACATGTTCACATTACGTTTTCTACTTTCTTCTAGAGTGTTGTGTATTGTATCGCATGTTGTCTAGGAAGGGATCATTATTGTGCAAAGAATGCTGGTTGGTAATGCCTAAAAAGTAACAACTTAAATAATTAGTAAATAATACAAGCCATTGCTTATAGAATTATTTGGTAATATGAGGAGTAGTTCAACTATTTATAAACTCATATAAAGTCCATCCTGTCATTAATGTGAGATTCATTTTCAACATGTCCTCTCATGTGTGGTGAATTTCAAGTCAAACACATGGACAACAGAACTTGGGTGATGTGGAGTAGGTGTGGCCATTGTGCTTCACATGCGGAATAGCCTGGTCTGATACCATGAAGAAAGTTGAGGTTCCACCATAAAACCAATTGACAATATGAGAAGTAGCCCAACTATTAATAAACATATGCAAAATCTCTCATCTCATCAATGTGTGATTCATTTTCAACAAACTTAAATAATTATATATGCGATGTGTCTCAATCGCTAATCAATTAGTAGCTGATACAAGCTAATCATTTTCTGAACCAACTTCAAATACTCTGCACAGCTGAACCGATTTTTTTTTTGTCAATGAAATCACGACAATAATCAAATAACTTAACAATGATCGATTTGGATGAATTCTTAATGACAACTTGATAGGATCCAACACTGCCAAAGTGGAAAGTAAGGGAAAATGCAGGATATTAAGAAATTAAACAACAATTTTCTTTATTCATGCTTTCTAGATGCGGATAAAACATTTATAGAATTAAACGAGTGTGTGTTTGCAAATATGATATTGACCACATGTTGAAAGGTATATTTGCTCGCAATCACAACGATATCGACAATATATCTACCGCATATCGATAGAATGTCCGCATCTTCACAAATGTACAACGTAGAAAAACTTGTTACCTAAAGCATTATGACTTGTACAAAATTAGGCTGGACTTGGGCCTTAAATATCTGGACCCGAGGAAAGCCCACTGGGCTTATTTGACATCTTCCACACTCTAAACAAAGTTCGGGGCGTTAGGGTTTACCATTTGGCGGGAAAGTGGACTTCAGACGATAGAAGAAAGCTTCTGAGCTTCTCAGAGTAAAAATGGCGAACAAGCTCATCAACCAGATGGGCCTCCCCAAATCCATCGCCAACGTTTTCACCGCTCGTAACATCACCACCGCCAAGGTATCATTCAATCGAAATTTCCCAAAAAAATTAAAATTTTAATTACTTTCTGAAATTTTCAAATTTTGGGGGTTTAAATATGAATTTCAGGAAGCTCTGTCATTAACCGAATTTGAATTAATGGAGGTATTGGATGTGAATTTGGCAGAAGTCACGTCTGCGATAGCCCGCATCAGTGAAATCACATGTCCTCCCTATCAAACCGTGATCCTCAAAACCCTTATTTTTTATTTTTTTTAAAATTTTTTCTATAGAAATATTTGAAATTTTTCTTTCTTTGGGTGTGTTTCTGATATGCTGTGGTTTTATCTGTGTTTGATTAGGTGCTAAGTCTAATGGAGCAACAGGTTCAGAAGGAACACAATGGTGGTCACCTTTCGACGCGCCTCAAAGGCCTAGACGATGCCTTGTGTGGTGGCATTCCATTTGGGGTTTTGACAGAGTTGGTTGGTCCGGCTGGCATTGGCAAAACACAGGTATAGTTCTAATTCTTTCGCCACTCTGATCGTCATATATCATAATCCTGATTTATATTTACGTGCAACTAAGTATCCGTTTGAATGATTATTTCAATTGCAGTTCTGTCTGAAGCTTGCATTGTTGGCTTCGTTGCCAGAAGCTTATGGAGGTTTAGATGGTCGGGTAATATACATCGATGTAGAATCCAAATTTAGTTCAAGAAGGTAATAAACTGAAGATCTATAAAATATCAATTATCGGCTGTTTTGTGTCAAAAAATTTCCTTACTATATTTGTTACAGATGGGAGATTTTACCTTGACTTATTAATATTAGGATGATAGAAATTGGATCAAAGAGTTTCCCAGAAATATTTCACAAGAAAGGAATGGCACAAGAGGTATTCCTATGGGAAATGATTGCACTCTCTAGAAGATTTTTAGTGAATATCATATGCTTGGTTAATGAAATATTATCCTCTATTTGCATGGTAGATGGCTGGTAGGATTCTTGTTATGCGGCCGACATCACTTTCTGAGTTCACTGAGAGGTATTATTCGAAACAAAATTTGTTTTTTGTTATCCCTAGTGAGAACATTAATCCTGGTGTACAGGGAACTCGGTTGTCCACAAGCATTGACAAAATGTGCCGTGGACTTTTGAGATACAACTAAATGATTGAAAATGAATGTCAGACTATGCCAACTTGTTAAGATGATTTTCATTCCAGTTTGCAACAACTCAAGATCTCACTCCTTCAAAACCATGTGAAGTTGCTCATTATTGATAGCATGGCTGCTCTTGTTGCAGGGTAAGTTCAAATATTCTACGATGCTTGTAACCTGTTCTGGATATAGTCGTTTATGATTAGGCCATTTTCAAATGATTTCCATTTATGACTTTGTTTTAGGATAAGAAATAGTACTTGGGATGCTAAACCCTGTTGTGCCAGGCCCATGTCTCAATAGAATTTAGAATTTCTGAACAGATAAAATAAAATTTACCTTCGTTACAAGCTGTTTATATCTAGTTTTCAAATTTTGGTTCGTGAATTTATAAAATATGGTCTGTTTTCCTTTATCCCTATGTCTTGGTTTAGCTATATAATCCTTTGTTTTTTCATTATTCCGTGTACATTTACGTAACATGCCTTCGAATAGAATAGTCGTGCTTTATCCAGTTTGCTTTAATTCATAAGAAATGTTGATATTTGTCCAGGGAACAGGGGCAGGGAGCACCTAAGCAGCATCTACTGGGTTGGCATATTTCCTTTATTAAGTGGGAATCCTAGACTGTTGGAACTTTATTGGTGTTGATGATTGTGTTTTTTATTTTCGGGATTAAGCTCCTTCATTTCCTTAACATATCTAGGTCACTTGCTGAATTTTCACGAATCCCTATTGTTGTTACGAACCAAGTGAGATCTCAAATTCGTGATGAAGCCTGCCAGTATTCTTTTCAAGGTGGGATAGTTTGGTCAAATTGTGAGATTCATCATATGAATTATGAATGTAATATATCTTACTCTGCAGTGCAGAACAGGGAAAAAGCATTACATGAACATACAGAATATGATTCTCATCTTGTTGCTGCTTTGGGGATTCACTGGGCTCATGCTGTGACCATACGTCTTGTGCTTGATTCTAAATCTGGTTTGTAGGCATGGACTTCAAAACGATTATACTGTCATGAAACCGCCTGTTTCTCCTTAGTTGTATATGAACATGCTTTTCCTTTTGATGCATGTTATTCATATGTTGCATATCCATCGTTGGAACTAGGATATGTTTCAAATCCATTTTTAAGATATGAGTGTGTGTGCCTTGCCTTCTCCTTAATATCTTCACAAATCAGTCAGAAGATTGACAGTAAGTAAAACCTCTTCCTTCATTTTAATTGTTCTGTATTAGCATTTAGCAACATCCTTATAGGCATCTTTCTGAAACCGGAATTCTTACCACACATTATTGGAATTGAATGGTGATAACATTTTATGGTTCTGAAGATTTACAAGATATGCCTAGAGACAGCCAAATTGTAATGATTTTTAATGAGATGGCTGCAATGATGACACTTCTTGAAATCCAGAATCGTTATTTCCCTTATTCCTGATTCTGACTCCACATTCTCGTTTCCTCTTGTAGGGAAGAGGTTCATAAAGCTAGCAAAGTCTCCAATATCACCCCCTCTGGCCTTCGCGTTCAACATAACATCATCTGGAATCTCATTGCTAAGCGATGGTGGAATAGAACTGACAGGACCAGAGATAAACACAATTCATTGCCAAGGTTTGTCACTGAGACTCTTGTATTAAGGCAATTTATCAACAGCATAGAGAGTGGAGTACTTAGTGCGTGGTATGTGTCATTTAGTAATTTTTTGTTTATGTGATATCCCACTGGAAAAACCGCTTTGACAACTGAGGAACTAATATGAGTTCACTTGGCATAGTTGCTCTCACCTGCATGATTGTGGAAATCGCCTTCTCACTATATGTTTTAGAAAATCGGTTTCCATATTTCAAGATGTTTCTGCTGTCCACCTGCATGGTTATGGAAAATGTCTTCTCGAGCTTGTTTAGGAGTTTTCTTCTTTAGAGTGGAAGTCTTATTTTGTAGTGACACAAATGCAGGACACAGCGACGTAATTAATTTTGACGGGAAAAGGTTTCAGTGATCAATCTGAAGGAAAGCAGCATAAATGTGTAGGAATTTGCAAGAAATTCAATACAATGGTAGAAAAAAATATGTGCCTCAGGTCAGGTTACAAACTCAATATGCATCACTTCTCCATGCACAAAGCTAACCATCAAGGCAAGATCAACCGAGATTTAAAACTTGCTGAGGGCCCTTTTTTCTCATAGCAGGTTTAGAGTTTTGTGTTTATCTTCTGTGTTTTGTACTCCTTTCATGGGCAGGGTGTATAATCCGTTTGATGTGAAGTTGTTGACGGTGAATGTTCGTTGGCGGGTTTCTTGTGTATTTGCCAGTATATACAAACTCATATTATTCATCATCTTCTGGAGTACAATGTGTTATCTTTATCTTTTCTTAATCAACGGGGAGCGAGGAACCAAACTTACAGACAGCTTCCAACATTTGGGAAGTTACCGTTAGACTAAGAGCTAGTCGGTGTACAAGGAAGTCCGGTAGAGCAAAACCCACTGGTCGGAATACGAGTTGTAACTTCAAATGAGACTGACCGGCAGTATAATACAACAGACTCTGCATCATGCAGGTCCTGCTGTGGGCCTGTGAAGTTGAGTCCATTTAATCTTTTTGCCCATGTGAAGTAGGTAAGCCCAAGAGATTTGATGGTACCTATCTAGGACATTAGGATATGCCATTTTATGTGCAATTTATAGGCCCATTTTATGTGGATCGGGAGATTCAACACATAGCCGAGTATGCATTTAGTCACATGATGAGTGAGGTAGAGTGATGGTAATAATATCTTTGTTAACACCCAAGTTTTGTTTACCTTTATTCTAATATTGGAAATTAGTTTATTTCAGGATTAGCCAGTCATTTTTAACTTACAAGAAGGAAAAGAGAAGAACAACCCTTTTTGAATCCTCTGACAAGAAGGGTGGAAAATTAGAGGCCATTGCATGCTGATTTGAATTAAGAGAACTGTCTAATGAAAGATGGCTGAGAAAAAACAAAGATTGGGATGGTGGAATGGTGATCTCAAGTTGAAAACAAAGAAATTAGGTACCAAACAATGTTCTTAAGGGGGTTGAAGATGTCCAACTTAGAACTTTGGGTGCAACAATAAATATTCTTATACACACTAGTTTTCTTTTTTCTCGTGATGTTACTGTTACCTTTTATGAATGGAGTTTAGGTGAGAGCCATTATTTTCTTGAGACATTCTATTGGATATATGCTTTACTTGATGCGCATGTTAATATGAAATTAAAGGCAAAAGCCATCTTTAGAGTAGAGAATGATATCATTTATCATAACCAATAAAAGGAGAAGACGGGGAAGAAGTGTTGCACGCAACTTATAACTCAATAAATTAATAGTATCCAGACTAGGCTAAGGATAAACTTCCTCTCTCTTGTTCTTTTAACTTACACCTTACACTATCGTTGAGTCTAACAAGGAGGTGTGGAGCTTTCTACTATGGACAGGAGTTTGTATATGACTCTCTTGATCTCTCGCCTTCTTCAGTATCGATAGTATAAAAAAATACTGATAGATCTAGATTGGTTTGAATATATATCATGGATCACTACTTGATTATGTTTCACATGCATCATGGTTACTATATATCTATCAAATTAATGTAGCTAGTCTAGAAGACTAGATCAGATCTTTAACAAGAATTTCTTAGTCTTCGCATGTACTCCATCAAGATTCAAGTTGAACACAATTTACTCTTTTTATTTCTTTATTCTTTTAGGAACCAAGGAAAGGGTGATTTTTTATTCCTACATATATAAATAAATAAATTTATATGTATTTATATTTATATATAATTAAACAAATTTAAACTGTGTTGCCTGTTCATAACCAAAAAGGACATAACGTAGGCCAAAATAATATACATGAGAAGAGGTCAAACCTTGGACTGGGCTTTAAGGTTTCCTTATTTGCTTGTTTATCTTTTTGTTTATATGAGAGAGAACGCGCGCGCTCTCTCTCTCTCTCTCTCTCTCTCTCTCTATATTCATATGCATGTTTTTGTATAGCTGTTTGGGAAGATGTTAGAGATATCATGTTTATTGATAACATGATATTGTAGTTGATGGTTGAATGCTTTTTTTAAGGATTTAAATAAGGAATTCAACTGTCAACTGCTACACGTCACTTAGTACTAAGGTTTAGTTGTATTCATTCTTATTTATAAGTCAAATGTCTTAGGTTCGATTATTTCTAAAGACAAATTTGAACCATATTATTATAGCGAGCTCAGTATGAAGTTTAGCCCACTCCACCTCTTACAGTAAATAATATCATTTGGTCCAAAACTATCAACTATTGCACTACGTGGTCTATAGCAAATGGTCTCTAAGATCATATTTGTTTTTATACATTGTGAAGAAAGAATAATCCATTGAAGCAGTTGTAGCCTGGCACTGACAGACTAAACTATGCAAAAATGTTTGGTTTTCAAAACATTTTTTAATTCTCCCAAAAAAAAAAAAAAAGCATTTCTTGAGTTGATAAGCATGCCATAATTTGGACTTGAATAACTTTTAAGCCAATCGTCAAAAACCTCATTAAACAACTTAGTTTGATTATATTCTGATTCAGCTCCTCTGAATCATTATTATAATATAATATAATATAATATAAAATTGGGGTTTTGGATTATGCTATTATAATATGATTTTTTGGCATCTTAATCTCCGCGAAATTTTATGCCTTTCTACTATGGGTTTTTTTTATTAGTACCCCACATATTGTTAAATACACCTCACATAAATATGTTTTATTAAATTACTCATGTATCTTAACGTGAAATAACTATTTAGCCCCAAAAAATTTAAAAGAAATTGAATACCCAAATTATTTACTAATATGAACCCTAACACTAAATTAGTTGTCTAAATCCAAACCCTAAAATCCTAGAACCCCTAATTGAAAAAAAACCCCCCAAATTGATAGAAACCTAAACCCTAAAAATAAAAAAAAAATGTTACAAATTCGTAACCATAACTATTCCAAAACAAAATTTCAAATTCTCAAAAAAAAAAAAAAAAGAATAAATCCATTATAATATAAACAAATTTGTCTCTAAGTGGTAAGCTTGGGAGTTGGCACTACTTCTTTTTAAGTTTTGTATAGTAAAAAGAATTGAACCCATTATAATTTTGAAAAAAAAAAATGCACCTATGTCCTATCATTCTTTTTTGGGTCAAAATTTTGTGAGATTGACTCTAGAGGAATAACAGAGAGGGATACAAATTTTGGATTTGTGCTCTACCAGTAAAATAAACCAACAATCGAATGTCATGTAGTTGACCTCATAATTAGTATTTACATGTTTAGCGAGAGTCTTGAAATTTGGAGGTGTAGTGAGAATGAACAATGAGAGAATGTTGAATGTATGTGAAGAATGTGGGGTGTATGTAGAAAGTTTGGGGTGTGAGGATAGTATAGGAAAGTATGTGGGGTATACTAAGATAAATTTTGATTAAAAAAGTAGATGTGGGGTGTATTTAATATGTGATGTGTATTCAACAATATATGAGGTGTTAATAAAACAATCCTTCTACTATTTTTATTATGCTGATTTGTTTGTCCCATTTGGGTAATATTAGAATATTAATTAGTACATTGTATCTGGTGTCCACGATCCTTAAATTCATACTATTTTATTTTTTTAATTTAGTAAATTTTGTATTGCAACATTTTTGTATTTGCAGGTGGAAATTTCGGGTGTATTTGCCTCACCAATGCTTCCGTTTCAAGAGACAAACTGATCACTTTTAGTACAGATTTAATGATTTTTCTAGTTTATTCTTTAACCGTCGATGAACAAACTTGATCATTAAGTCTCCGGCTAGATGATTGCCATTACTTAAGTCATTTCTGAGTTTTAAGTACAATTAAACTATGATGTATTTTTAATCAAAGATGCTGATTATTTTGTTGTTTTTTGTCATATAATATATAAAATGCATCTTTTTTTTTTTTTTTTTTGTGGGAGTTGGGGCCTTGCTCTCCCACAACCTCGTTTTCATGGGAAATCCTACACTTCGTATATCCAATAAAAAATGATCCGTTAGGTTCAGAATTAACTTTTGATAATAGGTCCCGTAGGAGAGAGAGAGGAAGGAGGAGGGGGAAGGGGGGGGGGGGTGTGTGGTGGGGAGATGGGGGTGTTGGAGAAATTAAGAAAGAACGAAAGAAAGAAAGAAGACAGCACGGCTTTTATTTTACTTCTTGTCACAAGGAGATGGTACAACAACTAGTTGATCAGTACAGATATATTTTAGTGCATAGTTTCATTTTCTTTTTGTACTTTGTATCATTTTATGCATGTATGCACATTTTCATTGAGCAAATTCTAAAATCTGTATATTGGAGGTATGAAAAGCAAAAGACCAGAATAGTCTTGGATCCATTCTGCCTTTTTTCTCGTTGCTATTTATCAGTCAAATACCATTAAAATTCAAGTGTGCCCATTTTCACTCCAAACTCACTTCCTTTAAATGCATTCTTTTTCACTTCATCTCTTTTATTTCAATGCAAACTTCCTTTCACCTCCTTTTGCTTCTTTGTATGTTCTTTAATCCTTTTGTTATACTTTTAAATTTTCTAGAATAACTCTTTACCTCATATTCATGTGTTTGAGTTTATACTATGTTTTTATGTTTTTAGTTATCTGTATTGAATTTGATGGGTCTTTCAAAGTTTGTGCAATTTACTCTAATTTTTCATGTTGTGAGGCCCCTCCTCACATGAAATTTTGGATCTGCCATTGCGAAAAGCGAGTTGGTGTATTGATTAATTTAGTTGGAGTAAATACAAGGCCCTCACCAACCCTAACGCTTGGGGTTTGGTGCTTCATCAGTAAAAAAAAAAAACTTGCATATACTTGATGTGTATGACATAATGTTGATAAAAACATTGTATGTAAGCTCCTGTTATTTTAAACATTTATTATACAATTAAGCGAAATGAATCTGAACCTCAAAAGTTGTATTATTAATCCTCATTTTGTTTCTTTAGAATAGTTTTATGTCTGCCTTAATTTCCAATGTCCAATGATCTTTCCTTTCCTTTTCCTAGGGAGCAGGGGCAAGTTTGTTTAAGGAAAAGTATGAGATCCATTTAGTATTCTTGATGTTCCATGTCTGGTGTGAATTGAGTGATTCATGTCAAATGACTAAGACACTTTTAATTAGTTTTATACGAAAGCAATAATTTTATATAATACACCTCAAACTATTAATAAATTGTTTTATGATTCATTTATATTTTGGCCCAAATGCCAAATCGTGAAAACAAGATAAGTCTTCAAAACTACGCCTGTAAATGACATAAAAATTGGAACAAAACTCAAATAAAATCCAACATAAAATTATTTTACAACGTAAGATATAGGGATAGACCAATTT